TTGCTGGCAACACCTACCAATGCAGCCCAGTATGCTGTTAGCTTTCTTAGCGACAAGGGCACACCATTGGCTCATATTCAGCTTATTATCCATTGTAACCCGCAGGTTCTTTTCTGCAAAGCTCTTGCTCAGCCAGTTAGTCCTCAGCCTGTACCAATGCATGGGATTGTTCCATCCTAAGTGCAGGACTTTGCACTTGTCCTTATTGAACTTCATAAGATTTCTTTTGGTCCAATCCTCCAGTTTGTCTAGGTCCGTCTGGGTGCGTTGACATGAGATGCTATCCTGCTACAACAACAAGCTATGTTGCTGTAGCTTGCTGCTACAGCGATGCAGCATCAGTGGGCATGAAGTGCGACACCAACGCTATTGCACAGTAGCAACAAGAAAAAACCTGTGCAGCATTGGGACTGCACAGTAACACTGGTTATTGCATAGTCATTTAGTACTTGCTTAAGCACTAAATGACAGCGATAACAACTGTGCAGTCTGGCACACGTGTAGATGTGCCCTCAATCTACTCCATAGCAAAGTGTCCCATTATCTACTAACCCCATATCTACTCCAGCATATCTACTATCTAAGCTTGGTGTCATCTGCAAACTTGCTGAAGGTGCACTCCATGCCATCTTTCAGGTCACTGATGAAGATATTGAACAAAACTGGCCCCAGAACTGACTCTGGGGGAACTCCACTTGATACCGGCTGCTAACTAGACATTAAGCCATTGACTACTACCCTCTGAACCTGATGACCCAGCCAGGTTTCTATCCACCTTACATTCCATTCATCAATCAACCCATACTTCCTTAGCTTTCCTGCAAGAATACTGTGGGAAACTATCAAAAACCTTCCTAAAATCAAGGTACACCACATCCACTGGTCTTCCTGCATCCAGTGAGCCAGTCATCTCATCACAGAAGGCAATCAGGTTGGCCAGGCATCACTTGCCCTGGGTGAATCCATGCCAACTGTTCCTAATCACCTTCTCATCTACAGGCTTAGAAATGGATTCCTTGAGGACCTCCTCCATGATTTTTCTAGGGATTAAGGTGAGGCTGACTGGTCTGTAGTTCCCTGGATTCTCCTTTTCTCCTGTCTTAAAAATGGGCACTATATTTGCCCTTTTCCAATAGTCCAGAACCTCTCTGATCACCATGAGTTTTCAAAGATGATGGTCAGTGGCTCTGCAATCACATCAGCCAACTCCCTCAGCATTCGGGTACATCCCATCCAGCCCCATGGATTTGTATATGTCCAGATTTTCTAAATAGTCGTTAACCAGCTCTTTTGCCACAGTTGGCTGTTCGCCTCCTCCCCAAACTGTGCTGCCAGGTGCAGTAGTCTGGGAGCTGACCTTGCCTGTGAAGACTGAAGTGAAAAAGGCATTAAGTACAGCCTTTTCTGTACCCTCTGTCACTAAGTTGCCTTCCCCATTCAGTAAGGGACCCACATTTTCCATGACCTTCCTCTTGTTACTAACATACTTATAGAAACACTTCTTGTTACCCTTCACATGCCTTGCTAGCTGCAACTCCAATTGTGCTTTGGCCTTCTTGACTTCATCCCTGCGTACCCAAGCAATACTCTTATACTCCTCTCTAGTTGTTTGTCCAAGTTTCCACTTATAAGTTTCCTTTTTGTGATTTAGCTTATTGAAGAGCTCCCTGCTAAGCCAAGCTGGTCTCCTGGCATACTTGCTAGTCTTTCTGTGCACCAGGAAGGTTTGTTTCTGCACTTTCAGTAAGATTTCTTTAAAATACAGTCAGCTCTCCTGGACTCCTCTCTCCCTCAGACCGGCTTCCCAAGGGATCTGCCCATGAGTTCTCTGAGCAAATCGAAGTCTGCTTTTCTGAAGTCCAGAGTCCTTACTCTACTGCTCTCCTTCCTTTCCTCAGGATCCTGAATTTGATCATGTTGTGGCGGTGTGGCCATCCACTACTACATTCCTCACCAATTTTTCCGTTTCTGAGCAGCACGTCAAGAACACGGCCCCCAGCTGGCTGTTCCAGAACTTGCACCAGAAAGTTGTCCCCAGTACTTCAAAAACTTCTTGCATTGTCTCTGCACTGCTGCACTGTCCTCCCACCAGATGTCAGGGTGACTGACGTCCCCCATGAGAACCAGGGCCTGTGATCTGGAAACTTCTGTTACTTGTTTGAAGAATGCCTCATCCACTACATCCTCCTGCTCTGGTGCTCTATAGAAAACACCCAACACAGCATCACGGCAGAAGTTGCTTTTATCTCTGACCCTAACCCAGAGACTTTCAACAGGCCTATCTCCAGTTCCATACTGGACCTCTGAGCAATCATATGGCTCTTTTACATAAAGTGCAACTTCTTCTTCTTGTCTCTCCTGCCTGTCCTTTCTGAACAGTTTATACCCATCCATGACAGTGCTCCAGTCATGTGAACTATCCCACCAAGTCTTTGTTATTCCAATCACATCACAGTTCTGTGACAGTGCAAGGACTTCCAACTCTTCCTGCTTGTTTCCCAGGCTCCGTGCATTCATGTGCAGACACCTGAGGTAGCTAGCTGGCTACCCTGTTTTCTCAGGAAGAATGAGGTCTCCACTGTTACCCCTCTTCCTGTTTGTGCTTCCTTCAGGTCATCCACTTCCCCACTTACCTCAGGGTTTTGGTCTCCATCCCCCCGCAAACCTAGTTTAAAGCCCTCATTAAGATTGCGAGCCTGTCTGCAAAGATGCTCTTCCCTGTCTTCATCAGGTGGATCCCATCTCTTCCAAGCAATCCTTCTTCTTGGAACATCCCGTGGTCAAAGAAACCAGAGACATATTGGTGACACCACCTGTACAGCCATGCATTTATCTACAGTATGCTCCTGCTCCTGCCTGGGCCCTTTCCCTTGACCAGAAGGATGGAGGAGAATACTACCTGAACCTGTCCCCTTCACCCTTGTACCCAGAGCCCTGTAGTCACTTTTGATCTGCTCAGGGTCTCCCCTGCCAGTATCATTAGTGCCCACGTGAATGAGCAGCATGGGTAGTAGTCAGAGGGACAGACGAGTCTTAGTATCCCTCTGTGACATCTTGGATCTGGGCTCTGGGCAAACAGCAGACCTCCTGACACAACTGGTCAGCCTGGCAAAAGGGATTCTCCAACCACCACTATCTGTTGCTTCTTCTTGGTGGTGGTGGTTGTGGCAGAAAGCCACCTTGGTTTCTCCCCAAAAATCTCTGCCCTGTGACACTGTGATTTAAATCTCTGTGCTGTGACCATTCAATTAGGATGGGCCCAGCACACAGGGGACCACACCCTCAGCCTGTCTCTTTAGGGAACTGGAGCTGGCTGCATTCCTGAGGGAGGGGGGAACCTGCTCCCTCTGCTTACGTGACTTGCATCACTTACCTGGGTAAGGGGTTTCTACCTGGGGAGCTGGAATCTGCCTGGTAACAGGTGATGCATTTCAGATTGGTTGGCTGACAGCCAACTGGGGCTGACCTCCGCTGGCCCAGGTGAATGAGGTCACAGGGGCTATATAAGTTAGGACGGGGAAGGAGGCGGTCTCTCCTCTCCGGCCATGAGGTGACGCAGCAGCCAGGCAGGGGACAGAGAAGCCTTAACATCTGAAACTGGCTCTCTCCCCCCAAACTCACGAGCTAGGAACCGCCTGCCTCCAAAGGGAAACTTCACCTGCCTTTGGAAGATGCTTGTGAGTAAGCTACTCAATCTGATTAGATATTTAGCTGGAAGTATAACAGATGCATAATCAAAAGGCTACCACAGCCAGACTGTTTGCTCTTTAGGATTTCTAGATATTGCTCTATCCTGTACCCTAGTTTACCCTACCCCCTGTAATCAATAAAGTTCTCCTTTTTGACTGGTGTGGGAGACTTATTGAGGGGTGGGTCTAAATTATGCCTAAGAGACCCCTTAGGTCTGTGGACTAAGGGAGACTATACCTTTTTGCCCCCGGACTTGGGGAAGTACCCCAAGTGCCTGTACTGGGTTGAGTACCCGTGGGACTTTAGGCCTGTGTTACCCCAAGGACACAGGGCCGCGAGACAGTCCATTCTTGGGGTGGTGGCGGCACGTTACCCCCAGACTAGCGAGTGTGCTCCGGGAGAGGGGTCGGCCGGACATAAGGCGCCCCTAGGGAGGCATTCGGAGCCTGGAAGGTGGTCGGGCGCAGGGAGGTGGGTGGCTCAACGCAGGAGCACCCCCTACTGGTCCGCCTCACGTGGTGGAAACAGCAGAGGGATACGAATACCCAGCTGTGTTCCTGAGGTGGGATCTCTGCACCCGCCACAGTGGTCTTCTCAATGATTCCCGCCTTGGGGAGGCCTATTCTGTTATCTACCAATGGAACATGCTCCTCCCCATGTTGCTAGGGATCCATATCTGTTCCCCAGGCAACCTGCTGCAGGTGAAGATGAAGATTTCTGTTTGCTGCCAGATCAGCATACAGAATACTTTGCAGAGCATAAGAATCCATAAGGATTCAACCAGTTATGTATCTACTGTAATAAAATGTAGTAAATCATTAAAAAAAGGAACACTGCACCTTCTCTATATGCAGGGCCCACATATCACATAAGTTTGAGCTAATGGATATGGTAGCTCTCAGTATGAACTATTAGCAGAATATGAATTTTTTAAGTATCCATCATTGATGGAACCACCAGAACAAGTAGAGTGGCCAATGAGTAAGTCAGCTATTCCAATCTGTTTAGTTCATTATAAACAAGCATTCTGAAAGTTTCACACTCAGAACAGACAGCATAATGACGACACCAGGTTTTTTCCAAAATATTCATGTATTGATAGTCTCATTATATGCAGTGAATGATGACATTGTTCAATCATGTTCTGTATGTGAATTTTTGTGGTTTAAAATGGTCACCCTAATGTGGTTCACATCACATTAGAGTTACCTTCGTTAGTGTGGCAATAGCTCTTGGATACATTTTGCATAAAGTAGCTATTTATTTACCGTGAAAGAGATTAAATACATCAAGCTTAAGAAATTAGTTACCAAATTCGTGGGGAAGCTCATGACAAAACACTGCTATAGAAGTACTAATTCCTCCTGTCAGTCCGGCACTAAACGCTGCTCCTGGAAAAATAAGATGTTAATGGTATTTTAACTTTGCAGAAAATTTAATAATAATAATAATAATAATAATAATAATAATAATAATTAAAAAGCATAATAAACAGAATTGCCTTTGTGAAACTGCTAATTTTTTTGCAGAATATGCCATTTCAGCATAAGCTTCCCATTGTTTTAGGATTTTCCTAGGATGCAAATTAGCAAAAACACTAGGTTCCTTTGGGTAGGAGGTTAAGTATAAGAGAGCCCCAACCACCTGTCTTCTCTTTTCCATATTTTTAAGAAAAAATCCTTGGAAGCTAATATATTTTGGCAGAGGGCCTGGGATAGCATATTTGGTCCATCTGTTTATTTGTTGGCCCTTCAGAAGGTTAGACAAGACAGGTCCCTTTGTGCTTACTAAACTTGGACCACTCATACAAAATCTGTTTTAACACAGAACAAAGTTATACATTCAGGTATAATGAACGCAAGCCATAGCTCCAGATAAGGAACTTTAATTTAGAAATGGTGATCACGAATAGGATGCAGAAGCCAAAGAGACTAAAGAAATGCACCTACAGATACAAGATGCACCTCCAGAAAAAAATCAAATAGCTTCAATGACACCTCACCTGGGCTTGTCAAATACCCCTTGAAAGAGGACATCCCACTGCACTGGAGACAGTGTCAAGGGAAAGAGGGAGAGTAGCATGAAACAAGGAAACACTGCAGAGAAGGGCCCAGAAAGGAGGGTGTCGGCCTGAGAGCAGGGAGAGGAAATCCGGCTTTGTGGTGTTCAGGGCTCTGTGGGCTGAACTGAAACAGAGCAGCTTCCCTTTGGAGGGCAAGAAAAACTGTTTGCTGAACTTCAGTTGCCCAATAAATGCCCTTCTTGAAGGGGACCTGTCTGCACTGCTGCTTGGCACTTCAGGGTGCACTCCTTTCCCCTCGGAAGGGGTAAAGCTTCTTGCAGAAACTGAACAAGAAAGTAACCGGGGACTGGGACTGAAAGTCTAGGGTCTTAGAAACCAAAGGAGCCAGGGGTTCATCCCATCTGAGAAGCCATACTTGGGCTGGCTTCAGGGGCAGGGGAAGGGGCACTCGGAGACTAGACAAGGCTAAGGATTCGGACCAAGCATCCCCTGTGAGAATCCATGACAAAGACCCACTGCACTACACTGTGGGATGTGTGAGGGAGGTGCAGAGGCGGCAGGCTAGCACCCATTTCTAATAAGCTGTGCCTGACAATTCTTCTCATTTTTCTTCAAATATGATGTGTTCAAAAATGCACTAAGCAGGGTTTCTGGTTGTAGCCATGTTGGTTTAAGGACATAGGCAGGCAAGGTTCTTTGGGTAGGTGTGATATCTTGTATTAGACCAACTAAGGACTAAGTGCATTTGAATGAGTGATGTTAACATATTATTCAAATCAACAACAAAAAGACCTACTACTTCTGCTCCGGTTTCTCTCCCCAGATGTACAGTCTCTACTACATTCGGTTAGCAACAAAGCTATTATTGGTATTGTTTATAAGGGAAATTATCTTGCTCAAACATAGGTTAAGTTAATTGGAGCACAACTTAAGTATTTTTGGTATAGCAAACAGCTCTGGAAACCTGACTCACAACACAATTATGACTGATGACAAACTGAAAGTTTGAGATTTCTTTTCATTTAATAATATTTTGAAAGAAAAGGAGTTATGAAATCCAGACAACAAACAATTATTACTGTCACCAGGGATTTCATACAGGGTTTTAGTTTAAGGGATATTTGGCAAAAATGTCTTGCCCTTCCCCTTTGTAGCGATGGCACTTGGGAAAATAGTGTAGATAGGGTTCCCGTTTTTTAAAATATACTGAAGTCCTTATACGAGCTTTAAGCAAGGTTAAATAAAACAATACTTAAAGCAATGACAAACGTCTATGGCACTGCTTCTAACAATACTTCTGATATTGCTGCCATGTAGAGGGCTTCCCCTGCAGTGAATTTTCTAGGGCACATACAGCTGTAGAAAACACATGTTGCCCCCTGTATGCACTTACCTATTGCTAAGCCATCACTAAAATTGTGGATGCCATCTCCCATAATTACCATCCAAGCTATGTTGGCTATGCCAGTATCTTTCAGGTCTTTTCCTGAATGGCAGTGGCCATGGGAATGGTGGGAATGTTTGTGGTGCCAGTGATGGTTGTGTTTTCTAGCTATGATTTTATCTTCTCCAGGGCTGTCATCATACTCTGCATCATGGAGATTGTGCTCTTGAACAGCACGCAAGACATCGTTGTGAGAATGGTGCATATTGCATGCATTTTCTTCAGACAGGAAGTTTTTGGGCGGGGATTCCAGCTGGCCATCTAGATCAGTCAGTTCAGTTTCATTAAGTCGATCTTCAGATACAACCGAGTCATCAGCTCCTGTATTAAAGCCAGCCAAAGAGACACGGTATGTTAATTCTTAATTAAGACACCACTAGCAGGTATACCTTTGCTTATCGGGATCTAATGGCTTTGCTAAAACAAAAGTTTATTGAACATTCCAGCACATCATAAGCTTAAAAAAAAAATCACTTTTCCCATAGAGATGGGTATGTTCTCTCTTGCAGCATTGTTTTTCAGGGAAGTGCTTGTAGGATACGCAGAGATCACCATTACCAGGCAACAGCACTGCAACTAAGTTACCTGCAATATCAAGAATAACTTTTAGCCTGACCTAGCTTGTACCTGGTATTCTGCTGCTGACAACATGTTCACAGTTCAATGCAGAGAAAACAGCTGTCAGGACTATAATAAAATCCCTTACATACCAACAGCCCAAAAGTGCAATGCAACTTAATCTTGTTCTTTTTGTGTGTGCACACACACAAGGAGCACTTAATTGCTGGTATGTAGTAGCATCTGTGGCTGAACAGAGAAGATCTTTCGAGTTCATTGTACTGCACCCATATTAATTCTTTTGCTCCATACAGTGAAAGAGTTGAATATATCATCTTATTTTTACTGGAATGAATAGGGTTATTATTAGGGTGCTCTAATGATAGCACAGAGGAAGAAAATTGTACATGAAACATTTGAGAGAAGTGATTAGAATGCTCAGGTGTAATAAGTTTAGTGTCCTCAGCTTTACCTCAAGTAATAAAATGAACTAACTGAAGGGAAGAGAGGAGCAGCAAGAAACAATCACGCAGCAGGTCAAAAAACAAGGAGAAATCATACTGGCCAAAAACAACAACAAAAAGAGCACCAACATTTTAGGACCAGAGATAAGAAACTGTAAAAATTCTATGACACTTTCCACATCAAATTTATGCAGTAAGATGTATTTTAGCCAACAGGCCAAGGGACACAGAGAGAGACCAGAAGCCGCTAGAAGACTGCAAATTGCCTAAAAAAGGTTAGCTTGATTGACGGAACATCGAGACCATTTAAAAGAAGAAATGATCATTAATACCATTAAGTTAACTGACTCGCTCAGGTGCCTGAATAGTAATGCACCAGCTGCTGCACTGTGGATCAGGAATCAAGCAGGGTGATTCTATTGCAGTAAGAAAATCAGTTTTTCCATTAAGTATATGCACCCCAATTTTGAGGGGCTGAATTTTTTGGGTGAAAAGACATGTGCTGTATGCCCAGAAATACAGTATCTTTATCTAAGTGGAAGGGTCTTTCAAATCAGGGACTGGCACTGCAAAAAAAAATCAAGGTCACTGCAGGCTTCTACAGTTAAGTGAAATAAATTGCCTTGTTTTTAAAAACTGTGAGCTTTACTGTACGGTTTTAGTTTAAATTGTATGGACTTTACTGTATGCTTTGACAAAAACTGCACTCTGGCAATTTAGTTCTGAGAAGAGACACTTAAAGTCCTGTTGCTCATTAAAGAAAAGTGAAGATATTTAACATGTGACCATGAAGACAATCTAAGCAGAGAATTTTCAGTGTTTCTACAACAGTAGTTAGCTGCTTGCACTGCTATTTAAAAATATTAGACTAAGAAGCATAAGAAACATAGTATGGATCATTTTTTCTAACAGCCTCAACAAATATAACAAGTCAAATATTTTCAAACGGGGTTTTACAAAATGACATCAATTTCCCCCTTTAATTATGAAAATTAACAAATAAAACCCTAAACAAACTGCAAACATCCCATTAGTCATTCATGATTAAAAAAGAAGATGCAGGGCCATCTGTCTTGGTCTGAGAATCTCTTCAATAGGCCATAACAAAGCCTTCAAAGTGACCCTGGCTCTCAGGGAAGCCAAGCTTCATGTACATGAAATCTTCATAATGGAAATTAAAGGACACTGACAGAGCCCAAATATTTACGGACAGAAGCACCTGTTACAAACTTGTTGGTTTTACACCACAAATCTCTTTTCAGGGGCAGAGATCAAAGACAAATTTTGAAAATTAATGTCTACCTGCAAGAGGTTTGAGCTGAAGCCAGTCAGCATCTGGCCTACTATTTAGTTTATGATCTGAAAGCTTCATTCCAACTGGTGATTCTTCAGTCTGTTTTTTCTTACACCATTTCTGTTTAGTCTGCAATAGATAATTTACAATGAGCATTTAGTATGCAACAACACTGAAGGGAAAGGAAGTTTTACTCATCTTGTCACATGTATCACAGTAATTATAGAACAGGGGTTGGCAACTCCTAGCACGTGTGCTGAGCATGGCATGCGAGGCCATTTTCCTAGGTACACACTGGGGCCGGGGCAGAGAGGCAACAGCTGTTTGCAGCTTCCTGACTGCAGCTGGCCCCGGCTTTAGGTAGCTGCTGCCAGCTGGGAGCCTGGGCTGCTCACAGCAGGCAGCTGGGAGGCTGCAAGCCCTGCTGCAAGCAGCCTGGGCACCATGTCTGGCCTCTCCGCCTCAGCCCTGGCCTGGCCTGAATGGGCGCAGTGCCGGCACCTGCTGCCTTCCCAAAGCCTGGGGCCGGGGCAAGAGGGCAGCAGCTGTTTGGAGCCTCCCGGCTGCAGCCAGCCCAGGTTCTGGGTAGCTGCTGATAGCCACGGAGCCCGGGCTGGGGGGACAGGGGCTTTGGGTGGGAGGCAAGAAGAACAAGTAGGGCTGGGGGGCTGTTGTGAGGGGCAGGGGCATGAACAAAACAAATACACAAGATCAGAAGTTTTATTTATTGCCACTAGATTTACAATTTTTAGAAAATCTGGTATTTACGATAAAAAGGGCAACATTTATGATTATTAACTATACTAATATGCAGTGCATTCTGCCATGTACCCTCGTTTTGTTTTTCTGGCATGCTGGCACTCTGGCACCTTCCAAGGTAGACACTGTCGGTTTTTTGACACTCCAGCCAAAAAACGTTGCCTACCTGTTACTGCAATTTCACAAATGTTGATATTCTGTAAGTGAAAAAATTGGAAAACATATCACATACCTTTTGTTTATTATAGTGCTTGTACATTCTTATGCAGTGTTCAATGATGAACAAAAGGTAAATGCCTCCAAGTGCAACAAGTCCTTTCAATACTGCATCATATTCTTCTAGAAATCCTTCAGCTCCTAGTCCATGCTCATGAGAATGTCCATGAGAATGCCTGTGTTCATGAACATGCCCTTGGTGGTGACTGTGGTTATGGCCTCCTTGAGACTATTAGGACAGAAAGTAAAGACCACAAATGTGAACTTGCATTATTAGTAAACTTGAGTAGCTGCTGGTCCAGCATAACATGCTGCTGGATTACTAGAAAAAGTAGCACCAAAAATTTCTTCCAACAACAGTTCATAAGAACACTAATAGTTTCATTAGAACAGTGGCTTACAACCTGTGGTCTGCAGACCCCTGGGGGTCCACAGACTGTCTAAGGGGTCTGTGAAAGATGACTGTGATCAATCAAAAATTATGTCATTACCAACACTCACAAATCAGAGTTCCATACCTCCATTAAAACATGTTTAGGGGTCCACAAATGAAAAAAAGGGTGAAAACCACTGCACATCTACCATCCTAATCAACAATGTCCCTCCTAAAGTGTTTAATGTGGCACTTAAAGGAACAAGCTCCAAGTCCTCTGCACTGCTTTGTAAATGATAATCTGGCCCTGCTCCCTAAAGAAATTAAAACTGATCTATTACCAGGGCTGTGTGAAATGTTGTTGGTTGTTTTGTTCCAACACTGTTTTGACCAATTTCGAGGTCAAAACAGCAAAACTGGAATGAAACAAAGGCTGTTGAAATAGCCTTGAAACAAAAGGAGACTGGCTGAAACATTTCAAAAGTCAAAATGTTTTGACCATAGGCTGGGGATGGGAAGTCAGTCCAGCTGGGCTGATTTCCCATCCCCAGCGCAAGATCTGGCAGGGGACAGAGAGGCAGCCCAGCTGGGCTGCCTTCCATCCCCGGCACGATGTAGCGCAGGTCATGGGAAAGCAGCTCAGCTTGGGTGCCTTCCACCTCCAGTGAGATCTAGCTCACTTCCCACCCCTGCGAAACTCAAAACAGTGTTGAAACAGCCTTTCTGTTTTGACAGAACGGAATGGAACAGCTGTTTCGACTTTAAATGAAATTTGATATGAAACACTGTTCTGTCGAACTGTTGGAAGTCAAGGCGAAATGGAACAGTGCCGTTTCACACAGCCCTACCTATTACCTCAAAGTTCCTACAGTGTTAGCAGCATAATGGTATGCAACATTTTGCCCACTACTACTTAACTGTGATCCAAAATACACTTAAAAACTCTTTTAACATGTACATGGGCCCATACGTGTGTACTGTTGACTACAAAGTAAATATTGTGTGGATTTTATAATTTAACTAAAAATAATTATATTCAAGGGAGGCAAAGGAGATTTCTGAATACATTCTCCATCTTTCCTCTGTAAATGAATTTCAATATACTGCAACTCGTTAAAAATATTTTCCTCCTCTAGACTCGAGAGGTAAATTTACTGATACAAGATCTGGAGTATTAAGAGTTTCTAAATTTTAAAACCCAAAACAAAATACAGAAAACAGCTTATAAAAACACAAAAGGTAATTTGGGACCCATCATCTTGTGAATTTTCAAAAATCTACCTGAAATAACTTGGCAAAATTTGTGAGAACAGGAGTTTCACAAGGTAGGAAACACAAAAACTGAAATTATGTTGTAACTTTTGACCAAGCATATCAAAAACTTCAATTTCTCCTGGTTTTTTTGAAAGAACTTTCAATTTAACAGAAACATAGAAGAAAATACCATTTTTCCTTTGGCACAGTTTTAAAATTTCCCTCACAGGTTAAGTCAATCTATAGCTCCATCAATAAAAATACAAATAAATCAACAGTTAAGATATTAATTATTTAGGGCACCTCTATACGTGCAGGTAAGGCGCAGTGAGATCCAATATGCAATTCACACAATTGCATATGTGGCATGGCAGTAAGGGAGATTGTGGGATTGAGCATTAGATCCCATTGCACCTTAACTCCCAGTGGGAGCCTAACCTGGGGCTAGCTGGGTCTCAGCAGTGCCCCACAACTGTGACTGCTGGCTCCTGGCAGCTGCAGGGCGTGGCTGCAATTTCCCAGCCCCAGGGGTGCCTAAAAGCACTGCTGGGACTCAGAGTCTGCAGCTGCCAGGGCTGAGAGTCCCCTCAGCTGCAGGACTCCCAGCCCTGGCTGAGCATAATGGAACCCTGCAGCTTGGAGCCTCATTAGCTGATGGGGTTTCCAGCTGCAGGGGAGACCCTGCTACATGTGCAAATTAAAGACAGACAGCAACCAGCCATAGAATCAGTACACTTTTGAGATATAACTTTATGGTGTGATAAGTACTTTGCATCGCATGTAGCTGGTCTCAGTTAACTGTGCAACACCTGTAACGTGTACAGGGGGCCTTACTGAACTGACATTAAGAGGTCTGGGGGCAGAACAGTACTCACATGTGGCAACAGATGGAGTAGCGCATCTCCACTCAGTGTCCCAACAGCCAGAGCAACCAGGAACGTTAGAAGGAATTTGAAGCACCCTTGGTTAATGATGGGAACCAAGATGACACCCAGCAAAGATAGGAGGCTAATGACAGTGATAGAAATGAGTCCACAAAACCAGGCTGTGGCTGGGGGAAGAAATTAATGCAGAAAGTTTATCAACAGAAAACCAGGAAAACTCTTGTGTGGGATGATAACTGAAGTGGGGACTGTCTTGTCTTAAACTTTACCTTTATAAGTATTCAAATAAGTGCTGAAAAATATAAAATCAATATTCAGTTTCACACATATATAGTGTCTACGGGTTTATTTCAACAGTGTAACAAACAAAAAGACATTAAAAGGAAGCCAATTAGCTGAAAGCTCAACTAGGCTACAGAGATTTTTCCTAATGCAGAGTTCCAGGAGTAGGCCACTAATGAAACATGAAAAATATAGGGCAGGAAAGTAACAGCCTCTTTTCTTTTGGTTTACTGCATTTTTAAGGGAATTGTTTCCTACTTGACATTTGTTTTAATGAGATTCTGATGCAGAAGTTAACTGGAAGAAACTGAATTCTCCTTTGCTAGGTGAGAGTAACTAGCTTATGTGTTGCTCCTTTCACCTAACATGCTATTACCTACCTTTTCATTTATGGAAGATAAATAAATCATAGCCTTAAAATGGGGAAAGCTTCAAAAGACCAGACACATAAAATAATCATAATAAATTGAAAGTAGCTTGGAAGCAACAAAGGTGGCAGGAAAGCTTCTCCTGTTTGGGGCCCTGTACAAATTATTCCAGCTAGAAAGAGGAAAGATAACAAAAGCCAAGCTTGCTGGCTTACTACTTCATTTACTGAAAAAGAACAAGAACATCTTGATTCCCATTATGCAGGAGGAATCAAACAAGAGCTAATTTCTTTGCTCACTGCACCAAACCTCTTGTAGGAAGTGCTCAAACTCCAAAACTACTATTTTTATCACGGCTTCATTCACTTTTGTGTAGTCAAAATGATCTATTAGACAGTACTGTTTACCTTTAGCTTCTGATCATAGATACTCTGTAGCAAACAGCACCAATTTCTGCACCAAAAAAGGTCGACCTGGCTGAGGCAAAGGCTACAAGGTTAGATACATCAGCACTTGCTAACAGATTAAATGATCGCTTAATAAAGGTGATCTTAAACCTCACATTTGTTTTCTATGAAGTCAGTCAGTCATTACAGAGATGCTATTCGGGGAAAAATTGCTTGATGATTGGGTGAAATGAAAATTATTTTCAACCTTCTTACTGTTTAATTTGTGTTAAATAAAATTTAATCACTTACCCTAATAAGGTAAATTCATGATTAAATCATCTTCTGATAATTTAAAGACATTTTGTCCTGTGTTAGATACAAAGACTGCATTACAGTACTACTTGATTTTCTTCCAGGTTCTGAAACTCAACTGGTTGGTCTGTTGTTCACCTTCCAGATGTAGGTAAGATGGCAGTAAGCCTGTTCACCAATCACTTTTTCTTTTCATCTTCTTTCAGATACCTCACATCTAGTTTCAGCCTACCTGTAAGCTCATGCACAGGATCAGCCTATAACGAATGGGTCTCTGCAGAGATACAGAGAAAGGGAATAGTTCTATTGGTATACTGACTACAGTAAAGAACCAGGGACTAGGCCAGTACATGCAGGCATTCAATAAACAGTACTGTTATAGAAAGTTGGGAAACTCGTAGAACTGAGGGGAAAAAAGAAGTTAGTCTTCAGCTAACTCTAGTAAAAAGCATCGTAAGACTCCTTGTTAGTCCCCAACACATCCCTATTCACTGATATGTAGGGACCTACCGAAATTGCGAATTCACATTTTTTGCAGAAAAAGTTAAATCAGGTGTCTTCTGCAAAAAAAAGTGGTCTCCGCAATTTTGGCAGGATCATCTGGGGAAACAAAAAAAGCTTACTAGCTACCAAAGAAAAGAATGGGAAGCCCTGCAGCCTTGGAGCATGTGGGGTGAGAGGGAGCTAATGAGAGGCTGAGCCTGTGAATTAGGCTCAGTACAGGCACCAGTCTGGCACCAGTCAAGGAAGAGAAAAGGCTGCGGCACCATATTTGAGGCAGCCAGAGGCATGCTGCTGCAGCACGCTGTAGCTTGAGGAGGATGAAGAGTGAGAAGAAATCCTCCAAGAAGGCAAAATACATTTCAGATCTGGACGGTGTAAGGCAGTATATATGCTGTAATGACCTTGCACACAGATGGAGGCAAGTTGTTTTGTATTGCCTGCAACATGACTCTGGATGTGTCAAGGAAAAACAGTATAGATAAGGTACAGTACACGGAATCTCTCACTGTTGCCACCACCAGAGCCTGTGCTCACAAGGTGGAATTTGTGGTTCAACATGGTTCATTACAATGCCAAGAATATGCAGTACTACTAGCAATTTGTGTCCGAGGAGCTGGAAATCACTTGGCGCACAGTGCATGCTTAAACTTTGCAATCTTCTGGAATAGAAGGACATTCAAGATCGAATGAAGTTTGTGGGAGAAAATGCTACTCAGTTCATGGAACCTCTAATGTAGTTTGAAGGCCGGCAGGCTGTGATCCACCATGTATGCAAGATGATGGATTTGATAAGACATGGCATCATATGAACTGTCAAGCTGTTGCCATGAAAACCAGTGGAGAAAGGACCTGTTCCAGGCAACAACTGTGAAGTTGAACCAGAACTGCAAATACAACCTGTCACTAACACTGTGGTTCAAACAACCAGTTGCCTCCTTCCTTAGGGCTGTTCACATTTTTTACCCCAATCAGGTATCTACGCTGAGTTCTGACCTTCAGCTACTGAAATCTATTTCTGGATGGCAGAAAGCATGACAAGGAACGTATTGCTTACACGAAACTTGTCAGAGTGCCAGATGCCTGTGACTCTGTTTCTCATCAGTTTTGACATTTGTACACCCTGACAAAATCCAGCATCACCATTCCAACCAACTCTGTGGACGCTTAGCATGCGATCTCAGTGTATGGACACGTGTTCACTCCACAGAGACAGAAGATGTCAGTGGCAACTGCCAGTGGATGCTGTATGCTAGCATTTAACAGCTAACATGAATTGCCCGTCTCAGAGTTAGCAATGATTACTGCTAACGTCATTTTTACAACACTAATAAATTATGATGATGCTATTAAGGTGGCAATTAATGGCTTCTGTGGGCCTATGAGTGTAACTAGGTTATCAGCTGCTGTTTTGGCCCCTTGGCCATCTAGTGGCAAGGGGCATGACCACCAGGGCCCCTCAGCTAATCAGTGGCATAGGGGAGGGCCCCGGTGCGGAAAGACCTTGAAAATAGTGACTGGCACGACAATCCGGCTGCAAATCTTGAACTGTTCAGCTGTAATGCAGGTAGACCCCTACTGATGTACAAATCTGTTGTTGGCCTTCCTTCAGCTACACCTAACTGAACTATACTTTGCTTTGATACTGAGCCTGGAATTCAAAGGAAAGGGGACCACTCCAGGGCAGCATAGGCTTGAGAAACCGATCAACTTCTAAATACCTACCCCCATACTATTCTGTTACTACTGGAATCAGCAGAGTACCTTGAACTTGATCATTCTCATTAAATTGGGAAGAGCTTACTGCCAAATGGTACTCTGTAAAAGAAAACATCCTTTTGAAATTCTCTTCTTCTACCCCTGAAATCTGGAATAGCTAAACAATTAGCTTACTCTGACAGGGTAAAAGATTTATCTATTTTGAGTGGGCACTGACAGTTTCTCACCTGGTTGTTGAGAATGTGCGATGGATGTTTTACAACAGAAGGAAGCATTGCTGTTGCTTTTGTCCATTTTTATAATGCATCTCATGGGTTTTCATGTGCATGTCAAGGATACAAATCTTTGGATGGGTACCCTTTCAGTTTTCTACAGCAAGTAAAATCATTCCCCCTGGTGACCAGCCTGTGGCTGAAGCTCTGAGGAATCTGGTCTCCTCACGCCTGTCAGATACGTTGCTCATCATTAAAATATTCTAGCTATATAATGTTTAAATCAGTACTCTGAGGTCAAATCACATCATTTTTAGTTCCAGCCAAGTTATATCATCATCTTTTTTGGTCCTCCTATATAAGGACCCCAGCCATTTAACTTTGCACCTGGCATCACAGTATATCCACGTCTGGACTGGAGATCGTGCATCCTGCCAAATACCTGCTGTCTTTCCTATATCATAGTACAGATTTGGCTAATGAATCTCTAATGGCTCTCATACTTTTGCCCATGACAGGGTATCTAAACATGACATCATGATTAAGAGGCACAGCAGGATTAGAATTAGGAATTCTATGAACTTCTACATCTCTGAACTGCAGCCTTCAGTTTCTGTCTCCCTAACTTTGAGAGAAAGTCACCATGTTGATCAATGTCTATTCAGACTTTTAAGTTCACAATATAACTATACTGGGATCCCTGGCTTTTGATACCAGTATATTTAAAAAACAGGGCCTGTCATCAAGCCAAAAGTTAAGGGATGTGTATAAATAACAAAAATAAAATAAAGCACTACAGAGACAAGGAAGATTCCAATTCCTGTGGGACTGTTCCACAGAGATGCACAGATCTTTTAGTATGTATCTTTTAATGTCCTGTACACATGATATAACACTATTAGGAAAGAATTAAGTATATCCTTCCCAAAAATGTAGGTTATTAATAAATTTAATACATTTGGTTCAAACAGAGCCTTTTACAACATTTGTGATATGCAACACTACAAATACACTAAGAACCATTATGTAATTATCTAGGAATACTAAGAAGCAACAATTTTTATGAAAGCCATACATGACTTGGTTTATATTGACTTATAAGACCTTCCTTGATGTATGTACTGATCTGGCTTAATGGTGTTGGTGGAAAGGACAGGAAGGTAATAGCTTCCCATGAGAGTAACCTCTGAACAAACATTTGGTGTAGCAATTTTAAGACAATGGCATTCTTCCATGATCCAAGCCAAAATAACACAACTGTTCTGTCAGGCTGGGAAGGCTGAAAGAGCAGCAAAGGCATTTCACAAGCAATGAAGAGGTTTTGCTGTCAATGATCTCTAACGTGGAGTCAAGCCAGTGAAATGGTTGTGCACTGGAGTCAGATCCAGGGAAGGGTGAGGCTTAGGGAAAAACAGATGTGTACAGGCTGGTATACTGTGCTTTTGTTCTAACAAATAACAGTTCTTTGCTTGAGGAAAACTCTCTCATCCCACATGGAACAGAACTACAAGGTCTGAGGGCCAGGCCAGCCCTAAACTACAACCAGTAGTCATGGGAGCAAAGAAACACCAACTTCAACAAACACAGTTGTGCCAGTGGATGCCTGTATGCAGCTGCAATTAAACCAACAAAATGCTCTTTAAACCATCATTCTAGCTAATTTAATTCATGGGGAATCATTTTACTATACCACTTCAAAATGCAGCGTTACCATTATAGCTGCATCCACAACAAGCCTGTTTTACTGGAAAGGTACAACAGCTCTGTTCCAAGATCAAGGAGTGCCTAATTCAAATTAGGCAGAGGGTAAATTCAGACTAGACATCAGGAGGCACTACTTCACGGTCAGGGCGGCTAGGATCTGGAACCAACTTCCAAGAGAAGTGGTGCTGGCTCCTACCCTGGGGGTCTTTAAGACAAGGCTAGACAATCACCTTGCCGGGGTCGTTTGACCCCAGTACTTTTTCCTGCCATGGGGTCGGACTTGATGATCTGCTCAGGTCCCTTCTGACCCTACTAACTGTGAAACTATGAAATCCCCTGTGGTGATTATGGTTACTGTCAGGGGACCACCATTCAAGGCTGGTCTGAACTGATGGTTGGGGGGGGTGATCACCCCCAACACCTCCAGTCATGTGACAGAGGCCTAAAAGGGAACTACACTTGACAAAACCAGGAGGATCAGAGAGGACATCTGCTTGGTAATTGTATCACTATGCATCCGCAAACAATCACTAAATCAGGGGTTTTGTTTTTTAAACATTCTTCAACTCTAAGAGCTGATTCCATTGCCCCAGTCTGGAGAATAGGTCCAGTTGTTCAGTCTACAGATTCCTGTTTTGTGGACTGTTCAAGATCAGGATACTAAGCCTGAGCAACATGGAATCTACTTCTCCAATCTGTAAAAAGTACTCCCTGTGAACCTGCATGACTCCAGTGATATCTAACAGAGTCATCACAAGTACCTGAGCAAGGCAGTCATCTCCTTTTCGCCTACACCCCGCTCTGCTGTGTTAGCCAGATATTTGGAAGTTCAGACATAAAAGGATTACCTTGATTACATTTATTTTTAAATTATTTAGTAGCCCCCAAGGATAATCTCTCTCTCTCACGTGAACTGCGAACACTGGATATTTTATAAGCCTTTTGAGATCCTGCAGCGGAAGGTACTACAGAACTATTAGGAACAAGCATTAATACAGTTTCAAAATGTTCTCTCAGTTAATTAAGAAACTGTTTAAGTTTTTAAACTAAGTAATCAGTCCTAACAAGGGTTGTTTATTTTAACTGCTGAAGACGACAGTATGTCTACAACATTTTTCCAAAAATCCAACTAAAACTGTTAAAAGCGTATCTCCCTAGAGCGAGTATGTTGATAATAATTTAGGAGTGTTTATCTCTGTTAATTAAAAAAACCTACCAGCTTTCACCATAGTAAAAACCCACAACCACTTACCAGCAAAATAACAGTTACCCTAAGGTTAAGAAATACTTTTCCCCAACAGTACTACATAAAATTGCTTACTGTGATTTACTTATTTTTAAAAGGCACCTATCAACTACAAACTCACTCTAATTTCTTACAGAACACATCATTTCCCAAACAAGTTGGTCTGCCTCAAACCTAACCTGTTTCACAGGTGAAAGAGTAGTTTGCTTTTAGACACCACAGCAAATCAATAACACAGACCATTATATTCTGCAGCTGGCAAATGTGTTATTTGTACTCAAGATACTAGATGTCATAAGAAGTGCTAAATGTCTGCAATGAACTTCACTTATTTTCTAAATTAGGTCACTTAAAATGTTAAAGGTCTTCAAGCTTAGTTATTCATCAACTCATTCTCTCATTATCGAGATAGAAAATGCATTCTTTTAAAAAAAAGCGCTCATCTGTAGAAGCTTTCTAATTAACTTGGTACAAAGCATGTGCAAGATGACAGTTTTCTACACTGTTTCAACATTTTAATTGGCAAAAAATGCTTAGCGGCCTTTTCACAAACCCTCTTGGTAATTAAGTTAGGGTCAAATGTGCCTAAAATGAGCCTACCCTGTGAAATAAACTATTTGCCACCATACGCAGCATATAGCATACTTGGTTTCAGCAATCTTTGAACGAAGTTAATGAAGAAGTAGCTATGTCACTATGGGAAATTTATACAGAACAAGTTAACCTTTTGTAATGATGCTGCAGTCATTAAAAATAATTACTAACGGGGCACTCTTTCCTTCAATTATTAACATCTATCAGGACATAATTAATTCAAGCTTGATTTCTGACAATGCTAATAAGCACCTGTAAACAACTAATCAATATTCACTACTACTATTATCTTTATTTTCACAACGGCAATTTTCTCCAAGGCTTTTTCAATTATAATAGTTATGCCTACCAGATACACCACAGCTAAGCATCTGTCAACATTTTCATTAAAATGTATGGATAATGGCAATTGGAATCCCCATATAAAAAGATATAATCTACCATTCTGACATCAGAACTATGGGTAATGACTTTTAATACAAATTAGTAAAAAGGACTATTTAGCCTACCTCCATTAGGATACAGTAGACAAGTCTATCATTTTCTCAAGGTACAGTGAATAATTTGAAAAAACAGAATACTATACGGAATGTCACTGGAGATTTCCAATATACATTACAAAAAAGCCACCATAACAGGAAAAGAAGTATGATATTAAGAAACTTCATAAAAAACAAACAAACTGAAAAATATCACCAGACCCCATCAATTCTCTTAATTTTGCTGCAGTCCACGTATCTTTCTTACGTGAAAGAGACTTGATATTGTAAAATCAGATCATTTTTAGAACTGAAATGGTAAAGTTTAAATCATATTTCACCAAGAACCAGCTACCAATGAGGACACTTATCCACTATTACTATAAGAATACTTTCAAGTCAGTAGTCATAAAAAATGTGCCCCCAACAGAACATTTCTGCAACTGTCCCACTCGTAGAAAAAGGTTTACATTTATGTTGTCTGGACTTGGGGAAAGATCATATTAATGTACCTAAATGATGGGGGTAGTTCCTAGAAAACCGCTTAAGACTAAAAAGGCTGCTCCAATAGACAAGACTCTGGAAGTGGAGCAGAGCTGAGTAAAGCCCATATCACAACCGGCACACTTGGTCAGAAATACTACGGAAAAAAAAGTCTTAATTCTCAGCAATTCAAAAGATCCAAATCTCATGCTTAGCCATTTAAAATTCAAGGAGTTTAATGATTATGAGACTAGGCCAGATCCTACCAACAATTAGGCAGGAAAGTGGATTAGGCACCAAAATACAATCCTATTCCACACTGCTCTATGTCCCTGAAAAACCATTAACAAGTTTTTTTTGTTTTTTGTTTGTTTTTTTATACACATCATCTTTATAGCTGAAGACTAAGTCACAAAAAAACAGGTAGAAAGGAGAAAGACTAACCTCCCATGCCCAGCATTAACAGAGAGGAACAGGATTCCACTAAGGCACCTATTAGGTAGAATAGGTTCTAGCCTTAAATTTTTAATGCCAGAAGTCAGAGGAACCAAGGAGAAAACACCCATGTGTGGGTTCAGCTGGGAGCCTTAGAGATGATCTAACCTGAAATGACTAGTGCATGGTGCTCACAACTACATGAGAGCACAGTTGTGATCCATCTACACTCCTCATCTGTTGCATTTAAGCTGGGAATTATCATCTCAATTTTGGTCTAGTATTAATTCTGTTTCAATTTTAATTTTGTTTTAGTAAAAGAGTGAAAAGTGTCAACTATTCTTCCACTGTATACCAAGTCATGTGAATAAACATTCAACAGAAATGTAAAATAATAAGAAAATGTAGTTCTTAAGGAGTTACCATCTAGAATTCAGTAATTTTAGACACAGATACTACTTACCTGAGGCACCTATTTTATCATTATTCTGAGCTGTTGCACTTTTATCTTTATTCAAGTCTTCAACCAGAAGCTCATCATAATGCTCAATACAAAGCCTTCTGTCAATTTGATACAGCAGTGCAGGACACAGGTATATAAACATTTCAGGAGATATTGGAGAGCTGGTTCCAAGACCATAGTACCGCAGCAGCTGAGTGACATTTAAACACTGCAAGTATATAACACAACAAAGTAAGCATGAACTAGTAACTTCAGTCAAAAGCATACAGTTGTGAAAAATTAAATGTTTGAATTAAGCATTCAGAACAGGAAGAAACTCTGACCAACAACATTACGTCATGAGCAGGGGGGAAAACAATGTATGCTAAGCCAGGTGGTAGGGAGGATAAACAGTAAAAATTGCTGTATTATGTATCATCCCCGCCCCCCAGCACTGAATAAACAGAACTTGATTATGTCACTGAAAATGGATTTCAGATTTTTCAAGTTTTACTTGGGAAGGTCAATAAAAAGCAAAAATACAAAGACAACTTCTGGTGCATAGAAGAAACATAGTTATACACTTCCACATCTCATCTGGCAGGCAATTCCATTTTAAATTTAATTCTAAAACTGACTCAATGTACAGCCCATATATAATTGTTCTGCATCTACTTCCCCTTCATTGTCAGAATTTAGGACCACGACTTCTGTAATGTGAGGCACATAGGAGAGATATGGATGTTATTACTATGAAGGGTTATGTGAACTTTTCAAAATCATTAAAAGCTTTAAGAGATGCAGAAAGAAGTCAAACATTGTAAAAAAGGTCTATATGAATTTCAGGGAGGAGGAAAAAGCAATACTTAAAATGTAAATAGCTTAGCATCATGATTTTGAATCAAACACCCCCTGCATCCAAAAGTAAATAACCAGTTACCAAACAAAAGACAGGGTAAGTAGTCAAATCAACAAGCAGACAAAGCACCATCAGCAAACATTTTAGTGCTTTTTAAAGTTACCTTGACTGCCTTATCCTCACATGTGTTTATTGGCAATAGCTTTAACTGTTACTATGCTTCCTTCTATACGCATATTTTCACAATAATAATGAAGCTGTGGTTTGCACTCACCTCTTCGTGTTCATGGTCATCATCACCATGATCTTTGTGACTATGTGCTGAAAATATAGCATGTTTTTTTACATTAATCTGTTTATGAGGTGCTTCACGCTTGCTGGTATGATGGTATCCATCCTCACTATCAGGACTGGGATCTTGATGTCCATGACTAGTAGCACGATCATTATCATGTTCATGAAGGTGTACATGTGAGTGAGATCCATCATGTACATGATCGTGTTTATGAACATGATTATGCTCATATTGATCATCTGGCTCATGGTCTGGAACAAAGTCTTGTGCAGTATCTCCCAAAGTCTCTCCAATTTTCTTCCCTTTTCGTCTCCTCTTGTGTTTCCGTCGTTTTCTGTCAGGTTGTTCCTGAGTTGTATTTGTCTCTGTTGAAGGCTCATGGTTCTGCTCTCCATGTTCATTGTGACTGATTGACTCATTGCGAAAATGACGTGTACCATTATGTTCAAGTTGATGATGCAGATGGTGGTGACGATGGTGGTGGTGAATGTGGTCATGAACATGTTTACTATCAAGTTTTACAGATGTCCGTGTTGTTTCCTTCTCAGAGTCGCATTTATGGTTTCTCTTTGTGGAAATGCCAGTTTGGTTTTCTGCACCTGAGTGGCTATGGGAATGAGCATGGTTATGAGAATGAGAATGCTTCCCTTCTTGTACCTCTAAAATATCCAAATGGGAAACATGATCATGGCCAATATCCTCATGATTAATCTCCACTACTTTTACCTCTCCAAGGCCAAGACTTATCAGCAGTTTTTCCAGACCAAAAAATGACAATCTTCCATTTTCACCATAATGATCAAAAAGCTTTTCAATGTAGTATTTTTGTTCATTTTCAGCTTCCAGCACTGAAAATTTACTTGGTGCAGATTCTGTTCCTGCATTCTGGAGATATGATGCTTCTGAGATCTGATAGTCATTATGGCTGTGTACCTGGCTCCCTTTAGGACCATGGTCATGTCCCTCTTCACGGCAATGACTGCACTGATGAAAGATGAATGTCAGCAAACAAATGAGGCAAAATTTTGTGTGCATGTGTACCTTCATCTCTGTTTCCTAGAAGAAACAAAAAAGGGAAGCGCTCAAATGTAAAAACTCTCTTAACATTTCCAGTGTACCCATCTCCCACTTGTTCTGTCACTTAAGCAAAAGAAATAAAACAGAATTCATGATAGAGTTCTGCTTCACATGCATTTATTGCCCAGCAAGTAGCCGAGTCCCTCTCTCAAGCATAGCTCAACATCCCACAGAGTATTACCAAAGATGAAAACTGCAAAAAATTTAATCTTTCACATGAAACCAGGAATATAGAGAGCATAGAATTTCTCTAATCATATGGCCTGCAGATCACTTCTAGAGCTACTGGTTTACAATAGTAGAAATCCTGATTTTCTTACCTACTAAAGGTAAAAATATTAACTTATCCATGTCCTTCTTGAAGTGTGGTGCCCAGAACTGGATACAGTACTCCAGCTGAGACCTCACCAGTGCTTAACAGACAGGGAGGGGAACTACTGGCCTAATAGATAGCTTATCTAATAGCTTATTGAATCAGCTTTATCCAGAACAGTCAAAAAGCCCCACTAAAGTGCCCAATGTATACAGATGCTGCAGAGCTGGGTTGAACTAACATGCTGCTTCATCTGGTAAAGTGTATTTGGTTTGGGGATTTTTTTAATGTCTGCAAGCAACCTATGTTACTATCTAGTTACTGGTTTTTATTTTTCACTCTTCCACACTATAATCATGTCCTGTAAACTCCAGTTAAATGCATTCTCTGATATTTATGGCAAGGCTTCTCATTTACTAAAATATTTCCCAACATATAAGTTCTGAAGTAACAGCTGCACTTGACTCTGCTTCACTATCTCTTGTGGGCATAAAAATGGCATCTACCAGAAACAAAATACAAACTTGTATGTAACCAGTGATAATTTTAATTGACAGCTCCCACAGAACCCATGAACTAGCCAAATGGTTCTGACAAACCATGACATATTTTGAGACTTTTAACACTGTACTACTTAAATCAACATGCCCCTTCAAGATGGAGTTGACATTTTATATGCAATGCTTTGAACCTTTCTTAACAGTGACGGATTTGGTCATAGGGGAAGATATGAGTAATACAACTTCTCTTCTGTTCACCTTCTTTGATCTAAGAAAGGAAAAGAGCAGTGGGACGTTCCTGGCTCTACAGAAGACTGATGATGAAGGAATCAAGTGCAGTCCCATCACCTGTCTTTAACAACTGTATTCAGCTGTCTTAACCAAGTGTCTGTTAAATTATAGTAATCTTTTTAAGACCAATGATGTTGTTTCTGCCCTTAACTAGTTGAGTACCTACATTCAGAACAGGGATGAATTTGGCCCATTCAGACCCCCATCACAGATCACTTTCATCTAGCCACTCTTCCAATTCAAATCTTCCTATAGTGTCATATATTTATATTCTGTATTTATTTGAGTATGAGATGACCCTGATTATAACATTATCCCAATAATTACATTTTATATATGGAAAAATTATGAAGTTAATATAATTTGCCAGGTAGAGAATCTAATTATTGAAGGTTTGCCTTTGAATTGTTCCCCTCCCAATGCTATAGCAAAGCAAATAAATCTGGAGGTCAGGTCCCTTGCTCTCCCAGAAATTCTTATCCTTGCAACCCCTTCCACCCTTCCTTGCTGTCAGACCCTGCTTTCCCTGAGCACATGAAAGTTAGAAGCAAATTTGAAAACCCTGACCTAAAAATAAACATATCTGTAATAATTTGCATATAGAGAAATTACTACAGGTACTCAGACATCCAGAATTGATGCAGTTTACCTCTTTTGAAACTACTACAAGTTTTAGCACAAATACTTCATAAACACACATTTAACCAACACTTCTGTACCTATTCGTGTATATATATTTTTTTAAAGAAATTTTTTGTTTCAAGCCAAATCAGCCAAATCAAGTTCAAATTCATGAATCAGTCCAGAACCACACATGGCCTTACAACAGGCAAACATCCTCCACCACCACCACCAGGGGCTTTAGATGTTTCCAATGTCTTTTGGCGCACATCCTACACGCAGGCCCAAGCCTGGAGGCTTTGGATTCAGATGCCCCCAAGTTTTGCCTGCCCTCAGCCATATGGCCACAGGAGCAAGCTAGGGAGGAGCCTCTCATTTCCATAAAATGGGCTTTAACCCCCAGCAGTTTAGCAGGTACTAAACCAGGCCAGGAGAACAGTTATCCCAGACAGGGCTTAAGGAAAACTGCCTTCTTGGACCCAGATACATGGTGTTTTCCCTGCCAGGTAAGTATACTTGATCTGAGTTTTTAAGAAAAAATACATGATATTAGTCCAAAGCCAAAGGCTCATGATTTATCATGTAGGTTCATTGGGCTGGGTCCCAGCAAAGACAACAGCATTTCAAGTCCTGGTGACACCACAGCTCAGCATGTCTGTGCGCTCTAGATACTCCCCACAAAGGATCCATGTGCTAATTAGCCCCCACTCATGATTGGAACTAGGTGCTCCTGTCAAGTCCTGCGATCCTCCAAAATGTATTTGAAGACAAGGCACAGGGTTATCTAGTCCAGTTCCATCTCACAGTGGGCAGGGACATACTAATCAGATGCAACAGGCTGACAGAGGAGGTTACAGAAGGATTCTGGATAAGCTGTTTGGGGCCCCATTTGATGATATTTGCCAGACATTAAAGGCTGGTGAAAAAAACAGGACTCATTGGAAATGGGACAGAAAGGTGCAGCTCAGCTATGGGACTGAAGAGGAAGTTAAAATATATTCACTGCTGTGGTTCGCCATGACTTGAAAAAGTCAATGCTGAGGTGGACTGCTTGCAATAGGTGCTACCATATACCTTATTCTGACAGCATGCTAGGTTACTGTAACCGAATGGGAATAAGGGACTGGGAAGGGCTGGAAGACTGTGGTTTGCACAGAAGGAATGAAGATTCTGGGAGTACAGATGGACATGACAAGGAAAGGCAATGAGACCTGGGAAAAGATAAGATCACCAAGATATGGCAGATAACAGCCCTCTGGAATCAGAATGCTGTCTAAACAAGGTAAAGTTGAACTGACAAAGACAGTTTTATTACCAGTGATCCTCTATGGAGGAATTGTGCTTCCTTGATGTGGCGACAGGCACATGGTGACAAGCATGAAGGATACAAAGAAAATTGTGCGCCGTTTTCCGGGACAGCAAAAGGGAGTGGGTGGTGAGGCAAGAGATATACAGGGGAAAAGGAACAGGAAGATGGGGAATGCTGAACATAGAGGCGTTTATTTATACAAAATTCATTAGCAGAATGTGGATGATGAAAGGGAAAATGGAGAGCTTTTGCAGGTACTTTGCCAGAAGTCTTGAGGACATGGGAAGAAGAGGAGGGATGAAAAATGCCTTGGGCTTAGACTCTCCCCCCACCCAGCCCACTATGCAAGAGCTAAGTTCATGGTACAATATGCACTGTTAGAAGGGAGTCCAAAGAAATAGGAAAATAAAAAAAGCCTTGAAATGAACAGGGATAGAGGCAGAATAATGGAAGGGGGGAACCTGACTGAGTCAGTCAGCCAGTGTGGCAAAGGATGTGGGAAACACAGGTGAAGAGGGAACATGTAGAAATCACATGGATGATGGCATAAAAGGTATTACCAATAAGGGAGAGGTTATGCAGATGTGGATTACACAGATCAGAAAAATGCCCAAGTGAAAACTGTGAGAACATAGAGTTGCCTTACCACATGTTTTGGGAACACAACAATATAGAAAATCATAGAATCATAGAAAGTTAGGGCTGGAAGGGACCTCAGGAGGTCATCTAGTCCAACCTCCTGCTCAGAGCAGGACCATCCCCAAATAGATCATCCCAGCCAAAGTTTTGTCTAGCTGGGTCTTGGAAAATCTCCAAGGATGGAGATTCTACAACCTCTCTGGGTAACCTGTTCCAGGGTTTTACTACCCTCCTAGTGAGACAATTCTTCCTAACGTCTAACCTAAACTTCCCTTGCTGCAACTTGAGACCATTGCTCCTTATTCTGTCATCTGCCACCACTAAGAACAGTTTAGCTCCATCCTCTTTCAAACTCCACTTCAAGTAGTTGAAGGCTGCTATTAAATCTCCCCTCAATATTCTCTTCTTTAGACAAAATAAGCTCAGTTCCCTTGGTCTTTCCTCTTAAATCATGTTCCTCAGCCCCCTCACCATTTTTGTTGCTTCTCTGGTCTCTTCAATTTGTCCACATCCATTCTGTAGTGGGGAACCCAAAACTAAACACAATACTCCACATGTGTCTTCACCAGTGCTGAACAGAGGGGAATAATTACTTGCCTTGAATTACTGGCAGCATACCTACCAATGCAGCCCATTATGCCGTTAGCCTTCTTGGCAACTAGGGCACACTGTTGGCTCATATTCAGCTTATTGTCCACTGTAACCCCCAGGTCCTTTTCTGCAGAGCTGCTGCCCGGCCAGTCAGCTCCCAGCATAGGTGACTTGTTTGGGATGGTACGGGGGGGGGGGGGGGGGGCCCGCCCCCCCCCCCCCCCCGATTGGCCACCACCGCTGACTTCTGTGGGCAGTCGCCGCTCACCATCCCCTCCTCTTGCCGCCATGGGCGGTTGCCACTCACCTCCCCCCTGCCCCCAGTGCTGCCAGCACCTGCAGGTGGTCACTGGTCGCCGCCAATGCCACCGACTACAAATTGTGCCCCCCCAGTCTCAGGAGGCACCAGTTGTTCATGACCCACAGCCTGTACTGGTGCATGGGATTGTTCCATCCTAAGTGCAGGACTTTGCATTTGTTCTTGTTGAATCTCATGAGATTTCTTTTGACCCAATCCTCCAATTTGTCTAGGTCACCCTGAATCCTAGCTCTACCCTTAAGCATATCTACTACTCCCCTCAGCTTGGTGTCATCTGCAAACTTGCTGAGGGTGCAAACTATGCCATTTTCCAAGTCACTGATGAAGACACGGAACAAAACCAGTCCCAGGACCCCTGGGGCACTCCACTTAATACCAGCTGCCAACTAGACATTG